AAGAAGAAGAAGAAGAAGAAGAAGAAGAAGAAGAAGAAGAAGAAGAAGAAGAAGAAGAAGAAGAAGAAGAAGAAGAAGAAGAAGAAGAAGAAGAAGAAGAAGAAGAAGAAGAAGAAGAAGAAGAAGAAGAAGAAGAAGAAGAAGAAGAAGAAGAAGATATAATAGGAAATATATTAACAAACACTCAAAAGAAAACGTCTTCTTTGTGGTTAGGAGAAAACAGTCTTAGTCACTTTGCAAAATTCCTGGCGGATCAAAAAGGGAGAAGTTACCTGAACCCCCAGGTTCCGGATGCCCAGGTTGTCTCTATTGTCTAGTTTGTTATCTAGGTTATTATCTAATTTTTTTTTGTAAATATCTTTACTACAGGTATTGTTAAATTTAACGCGTTCCCTCACAAGTCACAAGCCGTTGACTGGGTCAGGTCCAGACAACCTCTACCCCGAGGCTGCAGAAGACTGAAGCTAAATGGACTCGTCCACTACTCGGTCAGCATACCTAAGCCAGGCCGTTGTGTTCTTATGGAATCGGACCGGGAGTCTGGGGTCAGTTTGTTTGTTTGAGTGTCTGGTTGCATTCTGTGTTCATGTCATTAGCCTCTACATTGTCAATCCTGTATTACCGAGTGCTGCTTCTGATTTCTTCATCGTCTTCTCTCACCTCTTCTTCTTTTTGTCAAAAGCCTTAAATCTAGTGTCAAGAGACAGACAGTATTGCTTATGCGATATCACATATGGACAGTTCTGTGAAAAAGTTTCAAAATATGTCGGCTCACGACGTGATATATTCTGTTGCAGATGACAGGATGTGGCGAAGCATGTTTATCCCAGCCAGTCGGCAATCCACTTGATGATGACAATAATATTGGCAAGTTTCATTTTAGAGGCAAACAACTAACAGTCTGCGTACAAATAAGCAAGATCCGTAAAACGGATAGGCACACAAACCACGAGTTCTAGAGTAAGACTAAAGCCAGGAAGTGGACGAGTTTACAGCAAAGAACAGGAAGAAGAAGAAGAAGAAGCTGAAAAAGAAGAAGAAGAAGAAGAAGAAGAAGAAGAAGAAGAAGAAGAAGAAGAAGAAGAAGAAGAAGAAGAAGAAGAAGAAGAGAGAAAGGCAACAACTGTTCTAGGAATGACTGTGCTTTATCAGTGCATATAGATTTTTCTTTTGGTTTAACTTCATTTACTTATTTATTGAAAAACGTAAAATTTGCATTATCCCCTTTTCTTTTCCATTGTAAATTCAAAACATTTGGTCCTATTGTCCTCAGAGAGAACTATTCACATTTGAGGCCGGACCGACTACAACGTTCAGCTTTGATATTGAATGCGGAGATATCATGGTTCATGTTGATCATCTGTCTTCTGGTCTTGCTTTCGACACATTCTGTCATAGGTTTGTTCAATGTAAACATGTTTTGCATGTGTCAGGGTTCAAGAAGCGAGGGTCAAGGTCAGAGCACGTGTGTTTAAAGGTCATTTAACTTGCGTTGATAGACTTCTCATATTTCCCCGTGTGGATTCGGGGGTCCTATTGTGAGGGAGACCAAAATAGACCCCACTGCCTTCCCAACAAACATGTCGTTAGAGTCGACTAATTGGGGGCCTACTTTATATTTGGAGTGCATCTGCCTGAGAGGCAAGGAACCGACAGTCTGCCAACAAATAAGCAAGATTTGTAAAACGGATGCACATGCATAACTCGGGTCAAGGAACAAACCTAAAGTCCAGAAATGGACGAACAACCAGGTCTTTCCAACGGGGTTTACAACTGGGGAATGCAAACAAACAAGACCAACGTCACATCGGTCCTGGTAAACTCCACTTACCATCTGAATGACTCTGGAGTAGGGGTGGGTAAACTATGGTCGACTTTCGGTATAAAATGAATGACAGAATGTTTATCTTCGGAAGTATTTTTGCTTCCGACAGCGCTTTGCTAATGCAGTTTCCACATATTGACGGAAGTCTGTGGTTTCGCTACCGGGGCTACTGAGCTTAGTGCGTGGTGCAGCCCTGTCACATGTGTTTTTCATGTGGAATCTTTTCATTTGTGCTACGGTTGAGTCGTGGTATTCAATATCGCCGCCGGTAGGCGGTTTACGTGTGGGCATGTGAAATACCGTATGTAATAACTCTGCTCGTGTATAGCCAACTTATCGTGACCGTCTACTTAAATCAACGACAAACTGCATTTCTGGAGGCGACAGTTGGCTTTGGCGCCTCTAGCAACTGCCATAAGTATTTACTGCCTGCGCCTATTTCTGGATTTTTCTAGGAAGTAAATTGTTTTTTCGCCAGTTTTTCAAATTCGAATGTAAGGGACATTGCATTTGATTTTTTTCTGGTACACGAATAGAGCAAGTAAGGGGTGACCCGATTGCAGTGAAGGTGAAAACTCTACAAAGACTAAAAACTATGGTACATGGGCCAAAAATGTTCCATCGCAATTTTTACCTTCAACGTGGCTCTTGAGCAGAACACAAAAACAAATCCAGGTAAATGAAAGGTAACCCCCTCCCTCCCCCATTCTACAAACCGATACACACTAGCTTTTTTCTAATTGGTCGACCTTCAGCCTACCTCACTTCTGATTGGCTGGCATTGAGCCATCCGACCTATACACAAGGTGACGGGGGTATTTCACAACGCCGTTTATATCGCGTGTTATATATTTCACCATGCTAGCTCTTTTAATACTCCAAAAACATCGACAACTGGGTCTATCACACAACCCCTTTAAAGAGTGACGAAACCTATGTCACATGCAGTCTCTTTCTGGGAGTAAAAACGTAAATGCAAGACAACAACAGAGCGCCACGCGCATAACCTCGACCATTTGAACTTTGGCTTTGTGCCAGGGCCTGAGTTTTGCGCTTTACTGGCTTATTTGTGTTCAATTGGTTGTTCCTGGCCGCTCTGGCAGATGTACTCTGACATCGAAGGAAGTCATCAATTAGTAGTTTCCTAACATGTGCTTCTTTGGGAGGCAGTGGATCCATTCTTGTTTCCCCCATAATGGGGCCCAGGAACCCACACGGGAAAATTCATTTTCGGTTTATTAGGCTTTCACATTCGACTTCTTCTTTAATATACCATTGAATGCGTTAAGTTTAGCTTTTTTTCAAAAACTGTCAAAATCTAACAGTTGTTGGCTGTTGTTTTGGTATAATAATATTAAAGTAGAAGACTTTTCCACAATAGACCTATATTTTATAGACCAATCTCATTGGGTAGATGATGTCAACATCATGCCCGCCGCCTTTATTTTCCAGGACTGTATCAGTGTATTTGAATTCCATGTGGAGTAAAATATAGAAGATGTTAAGTATACTCATCATCATCATGTATCAGGTCCTTTGCAGAAGTCGATCTCATCACAGTCTGTCCAAAAGAAACTCGGTCTCTCGCCAGTTCTCCAGCCTTATGTACTTTCATACTCAAGGAGTCACTTGTATCCTGTGCCCATCTTCGTGTTGGTCGGCCCCTGCCCCTCCATCCTGGTACCATGTCTTCTGCGATAATTTTTTCCAATACGCCGTGGCGCTTGATCTGACCAAAATATTTTAGCTTCCGAGACAGGATGCTGTTTATTAGCCAATCTTCCTTGATGTTCAGATCTTTCAAGATATCAGTATTTCTCCTCTTCTTTGGTAAAGTTAACTACAGAAAAAAAAATGTGAACCCACATAGACAAGAGAGCAACTTACTTTGTAACAGAAGGATCCCCCACAATAACAGTTTCATACGACTGGATGGGGTTTTCTAGGTTTATCTCCAGAGAGAATCCCAAGTTGGAGGAGAGTAGAGCAGTCTGAGACCGAAAGAAAAGATGCTGGACAGTTTGACATCATGGCATGGAGGATCATTTGTATCAGAGTTGATTGAAAATACACGACACAAAAGGTTGTGGACAGTCATGACTACCAAAGCAACACATTCTGGATTTTAAAAGAAAAAAAAAATCTTCTTAATCTTTTTTTTTTTCTTCGCGTTGAACGGCTGCAAAGGCATGGTTGTTTTTTCACTTCTGGACTCTTGTCATCTCCATAAATTGAGTGTTGCGGGCACATCCGTTTCACATGTATGACGCATTTGCATGCAGAATGTTGGTTCATTGCCTTTCAGGCAACATATACTCCGACTTCGAAGGAAGCTCCTAATTAGTCGACTCTTACAACATGCTTATTGTGTAGGCAGTGGGTCTATTCTTGTTTTCTTTACAATTGGGCCTCGGGAAACACACGGGGAGAATCCCATCTGAAACGTCCCGGTACGCATAACTGGGTGTCAATACTTCAGGCTACAGTTAGGGAAGGGAGGTGTTACAATTTAATAGTACGGTTTCCGTGGGTGCTATCATATTTCTTGGTCTATAATGTTTATGTAAAGAACATACTTCTTGTCCTATAATGTTTATGTAAAGAACATACTTCTTGTTCTATAATGTTTACGTAAACAACCCTTTCCGGCGTCTTCAGGAGTCCTGCGCATCTGGTGCTAGACCTGTATTTTATAGACCAATCAGCACTCCGTCGGTGATGTGGTCAACATCCTGCCAGCTGCCTTTACTTCCCAGGACTTTACCTGCTACCCATTGAAGGCTGGGTTGACGTGAGAGCCAAAAGTTATTATGAAAAAGTCCGGCTTCGTTCGGATTTGAACGCAAGACCTTCATATCCTCGGGCAAGCTTCTAGCCGCAACATAACCGCGTAATGTTTATATAACCATTACTTATCAGAATACCTAAACATACAAAGCAGTTTACTGCATCTCCCTCCAGCCCTCATGTAAGACTAGAAAGAACTGGCAGGCGATCCACAGCCTCGCTGGTGCATTACAACCCTTCCTCCCTGTGTTGCCTGGAGGACTTCCCGCTCATTCCTGGAACCGTCTTCCGATTAGAAGTGCACAACTCCAGCAGAAGGGTCGACTCCGGAAGCTACCTCAGGGTGTGCGTGGCCAGGCAGCTGAACAACTATGAGAACAATAACCAGATGATGAGTTGTGGATCTCCTACACATCCCAGTGTGCGAGGGAGGCGTTTGCTGATTGGGCCTACTTCACACAAAGTGTTCATAGTTCAGATCCTAGCAGATGGTCTACTTATGTTCAGGTAATTCAGTACCAGGTTTGTCATATGTGTGTCTGTTAAAATTAAATTGTTTTTCCTACTAGCGTCTATTTGTCTGGCTTCTTCTTCTGCTTTAGCATTCCGGGCCTTTGAAGTTCACCCGCCTTCATTCAACCTTCTGGTTGGCCTTCTCTATCCAGTTGGTAACACCAAGTGTTTGCAGGTCTATATTTGTCTGGCTGATGATTATCAATTATTTGTTAGATAACGTTTTTATTAGGTTAGATTATTCCATAACTGTTCCGATCCCCTTCTCAGTAAATCCCACAGCTTACGGAGGTTGGAGTCCAACAGTTGATTCACGACAATTCACGCTCAGGTGATCTGATTATCTATACAGATGTTTCAGTGTTGAGAGGAAAGAGAAGTGCCTTGGGGTTCATAGCGAAAGCCAAGGGAAAATCTTTAGTGCAAGACAGCCTAGCATACGACATCACAACATCTAGCATGACAATGGAGGTGGAGGCGGTAACTGCAGCTCTCCGGTGGCTAGAGAACAAGATGCATACGCATGTTGTAATTGTAACAGAATCCGAAAGCATGCTGAAAAGGGTGAAGACAGGGATGCTTCGAGCAGAGTGGCTAGCTTCACTGGAAATATCACAGGCGGTGAGCATACTTTGGAAGTTTTCTTCAGGCAATGCTGGCGTGGTGGGTAATAAACAGGCAGACAGATTGGCTGGATTCGCACCACTGGGTGGTGAATTGATACATGACAAGGCAGATGTGGTCAAGGCCCTTTGGGAACAAGCAACAGAATCAGTAGAGAAAGAATATTATTATGACCTGGAGAGAATGAGGCACCCGGGTGTAACCAGAGGGTCTGGCCGGCTCACTACACTCATAGAAAAGGCAAGACGCACTTTTAACCAGATTGTGACTGGTACCATCAGTAATGAAACTCTGCACTGGCTGCTGAAGAAGAGGACGGAGCATGCATAGGAATGCCCCGAGTGCTGTGATGTCAATTCTTGACTCAACTCAACTCCCACAGCTTGTAGCGGCTGACGACATCGATTCTATGTTAGTTTCCTTTTTATTCTGCTTCTGCCTTCTGCATAATGCTTTTGTCTGGCCACACGCAATGCAGCATTCTGTTCTTGCGGTCTGGTCATGGTAGCAAAGTCATAGTCGCTTGGTTCTCGCAAATGTCACTTCACATAGCAATTCACAATATTAGACTGGACCATTGCTTGTCCGCCCTTCACAATAGCCTTATCCCCAAGCTTGTTCATTTCCTTACACGCCTGCCTGCTGTGGCACGAAAATGAAAGTGATCTTTGTCAGCCTTTACTGCCTTAGAGACACCAACTAGTGTCTCCAGACCCAGTCCATCTCTATGTTCCTGAGCAAAGTCATTGAATAAGTAAGTGAGTAAATGGCCCTCTTCCCGTCAGTGAAGCATCGGAAACAGATATTATACTCATTAGTATAACAGTTGTGCTGAAGAAATTGATATTTTTGGCATCAGCGAAAACTCAACCGCAGATTTATATGCTTGTTAATTAGTTACAGTTTCATCATTGTTTTAAAGTATAGTATAGCCCGTCTCTCTAGCGAAGTTGGCTAAACCGGATTTCGCGGTGAGCGGGTGACGAACTCCTTGTGGTCCGGGTTCACTCCCGGGGGTGGGCAGAAAAGCCACATTTCTCCCAGATTTACGGTATTTAAAATGGAATCAAGGCCGAAAGGTTGCGATATCCATAATACCGAGCCTAAGGGTTAACAACTCATGGCTTCTGGATACTAAAACAAACAAACAAACAAAGTATAGTATGCTGAAAATTCTAGGTTCGATGTGTTTTCGCTTACGATATTAAAAAGCCTATCATATCGAAAAGTCAGCTGTTGAAACTTTATGCATTCATAATGAAGCCATGTTAGTAATTCTAGGATGTACATGAGATACCCCCACTAAGTATGTGTGCAATATATACTTGCACTGCCTACTACTGCAGACAGGCTCAACGTTCTGCACGCACAGTCATATCTCAGAGTAGCTGCAAACAAAAAAGCACTTAATGCATGAAGCCCTGGGTAGAGCTAAGGGTCACAGACTGAAAAGAGGAAAGTCTTGGATGGCGCAAGCTGAAGACACATTGAGACTTGTAGACTTGAGGAGAGGAGTGGGTCAAAGTGTCCCAACAAGTATCAGAAATGTGTAGGGTTCTAATCACTTCAGGTCGTGAGTGCATGTATTGACCAGCGGGCGCTGCGGAATCAAAAGTTCAAGAAATGATTCGTGACAAATCCCACCCAGATGATGTGATTATCTATGCACAGGGCTCTATGTTGAGAGACAGACGAAGTGCATGGGGGTGCAAAGCAAAGGCGAATGGACGTCGCTTAGTGCCGCAAAGATTGGCATATGATATCACAACATCTATTTTGATAATGGAGGTGGAGGCAGTCACTGCTGTCCTCTGCTGTCTTGTTATTCAGCTATACATACATGTCGTAATTGTAACTGATTCACAGAGCTTGTTGAGATAGGGGAAGAAAGGCATGCTCCGTGAAGAGTGGCAAGCATCGCTTCAGAGGTCCCGAATAGTTAGCCTCTTGTGGCTATTTTCTCCAGGTCGTGCTGGTATCTTGGGAAAGGAGCAGGCTGATAGACTGGCTGTTTCTATACAACTTGGTGGTAAATTGATGTACAACATGCAAGATGTTGTGAGGGCCTTTAGGGAGCTAGTAAGCAGTGCGAAGGCACAAATAGATAATTAGAGTCTGCGGAGAATGGCGCTGCGGAGAATTACCAGGGGAACTGGTTGACTCTCAACACTCAAAGAAAAGGCGAGATGCATAGACAATCAGACAGTTACTGGTACCATCAGAATTGGAACTCTTCGCTTGCTGCTGAAAATGGGGACGGATGGCTCATGGGGGTGTCTAGGGTGCTGTTATGTCGAATCTTAATTCAACATTCAAAGCATATTTCTAGTGTAGGGGATCGCGGGTCCCTTTGCTTCTATGAAATGGGGTTCGACTTCAAAAGGGTTGGGATCCGCTGATTTAGTTGCGAGGTTACAGCGACTCGCGTTTATTTGTAGTACCGTACACTATTTACGCGCAGTTTCGCTTTTGTCTGATTCACCTCATCATCATCATGTAGCAGGTCCTTTGGATAACGTCGCTCTCATCACGATCTGTATGGAAAAAAAAACTCGGTCTCTCGCCAGCTCTCCTGCCTCACATTCAAGTAGTCACTTATATCCTCTGCCCATCTTCGTGTTGGTCGGCCCCTGCCCCCCTCCCCCTTCCTGGTACCATGCCTTTCGCTGTTATTTTTCCCAATCCGCCTTGATGTTCATATCTTTTAACATGTAAGTATTTCTTTACTTCTTTGTGCATGGTATTCTGAAAACATTCTTATAGCATTTAAACTCAAAAGCAACTAAATTTCTTAAGGACTGATTTTGGCTTCCATGATCGTTTACTAGGGATAGTAATGTAGTAGTTTCTCCTTGCTTTCCCAATCCACATGGTTATAGACTATGTTCTCAGCCTTCAGCAACCTTTTAGATTGCCAGGGCAAGTAAGTGCCCTGCTCTGTGATGTTCCTGCTAACAGCAGAGAACTCCTCATAGGTGTCCACTTATCCCGGTGGATACTCGGTCCCCATAGCTGCGTTAATCACACTGCAGTGTGTTTGCCATCTTCTACAACGTTGAGGTGCACTTGGGGATTTCCCTTTGCCAAGTCTTGAGACCTGAAATTCATCTATTTGTTTTTAATCTGTTTAATACCCAGGTCAGACTCAAAGAACATAGAAAGGTTGCGTTTCACACTGGATAACACATTTGACAAGACGCTCTGGTTTGAGATACACAAGGTCTCCTTAAGAGTTTGGCAAGTGTGTGGTGAGTACCGCTGTCACATAGAACGTTATGTCTGAGCAATCCGTGTTCATCTCACTGTACTCAAGCAGATACTACAATCAGTTCCAGAAATTGTTGCCCACTTCAAAAATCTGTAACTCAGAAACCGTTCACTGTAAACAGATTAAATTCGGCAAAGAAACCTGTTAATAATCATGTCCTTGTCGGATTTTTTTTTTTAATACAAACTAACATCTAGTTTTCATTTTGCCTTATTTACGGTGTGGGGAAAATTAAAAAAAAAAAACGATTTGAAGCAAACAGTCAGCATGCTTACAGTAAACTGAGTAACGGGAAATGTTTAAAACATCAAATTGTGTGCGTTTCATAGGGTTTCCCTCTCATGTTGTCATCTCCAGCATCCCATGAGTTCCTTACGAAATTATTGGGAAGGGGGAGGAGGGGCACAGTCTCCCCTTTAAAAAATGTGGGTGGTGGAAGGCACTCGAGGGACCTGCCAAACCCCCCCCCCTTCCCTATTTTCCTCTATGTACCGATGTTGGTTAGGCGTTCATGTGCAGGGTGTGACCATTCCTTGGGTGATCCCAGAAATAGAACCCACAATAAGGGCACTGCTTGTATTTTAAGCCTCATTTAATATTGCGGAATGCGCATGTTCTGTCCATGCCTTACCACGAGAACCGATAAGTATGCACGCGGCTGCTCTTGGTGGATCCATCCGTTACGGCACACCCGTAACCTGCATGAAACTAGACCAGCCCAACAAACTTGTGAATGAAACATGACCTACTTTGTTTGGGGAGACTAACTTAAACCTAACCCAAAATTGCTTGACGTCCCCTCTCCCCACTGAAGGCCCCCCACCCCCGACCCCAGAAAGGGGGTGCGCTTCCCCGGGTTTCAGACCACTGCTCTAGGGAAACACATGTGAATCAAGGAGTGACGAAGTTGCCACACAAGTGAGACATAATTAACAAGGAAGGCTAACCCATAAAACAAGTCCCCACTGTAAAACTTTGATTAACCGTCACCGTTGGGACCAGGGCCGCTAATACGACTTTTGTTTTTGAAAAACCCAGCTAAGATAACCAAAAAACCCAAGCAATACATAAGCAAAGAACAAAAAACGAACAAAAAACCCAGATTGTTGAAAACTACCAATTTTATAGTTACGAAACGAAACATTTACCCATTTCTATGGAAGGATATATTTAAAAAAAAAAACACAAAAACGTGTTTCCTGTCATTTCCTAGTGAGGTGTAATTTTTCTCTATTTTGAAGCCTCACCATAGCTTTTTTCAGGGGCCGCAATATAGCCCGACCATAAATATGGTCTAATAGCTAAACGCGGTTTCTGGATCCTCTCCACGGTGATCCTTATCCACATGGTGGCACATTGTGTCATCGGGTGTTTATCGCTTGTGTGATGTCCTGGTGGGGTAAAAAGTCAGTCAGTTAAAAAAAAAAAAAAAAACTCAGATTTCAAAATTTGAACCCAAGGCGACGACTAAAATCCCAGATCTGGGGGTAAAAACCCATCATCGGCCGCCCTGGTTGGGACCAGGGCTGTGACAGATAAAGAGAAATCTCTTAATACATATGTACAGTCACGTGATTTCATTGCAAGCTTTAAACTAAAATAAAACTAAAATTCTGTTAAAGTAAATACATATAGTACATACATATTGCATTTAGTTTTACAAAACGACCAATATAAACTTCATTATAAGAGTAGCAAGGTAAAGAAACATTTTTTTAAACTATAAACCTACATTACTTTAAAATAATCGCCTTTTGTCTCTTTGAGTCTCGAGCTTTCTATGCGGCGATGATCCGTATCTTATGCAGAAGTAGGATCTGCATTGCATTTGCATCATCTTGCAATTTAAACCCGTCGCTGCACTTGGATAGCATTGTTTCTGCTTCTGGGTGGCTTAGTTGTCGGTTTTTGGTTAGGAACTGATACTTCATCGTCATTAATTTCTGGAAAAAAATTTACTCATCGTTTAAAATCTCCAAGCAATTTTACTTTACTCAGTTAACTGTAAGCATGTTGTCTTTGTGGTGTGAATCGGTGTCTGTTTGGTTATTATGTTTCCCCGCAGACGATAGCGGATAACAGAAACTGACGGCTAAACGGGTGACGTTAATCAAAGATTTACTGTACCCGGAGAAGTTGTTTGTGCCGCAGCCTTATCATTCTTATTTTTTCTTCTGTTCGTCCTTAAAATGTCGGTTGGCACGTCGTATCGTGCCTTTCAGTCAGTTGGGCTGTGATATATGAGCATTTGGGCCCAACACACTCCATTTCAACAAATCCTTAATTGGTCACCTGTTACAACATTTTAGCAACAAAGGAAATATTTCTTTCTCGGAATGGATGGAACTCGTGAACCGACCCGTGGAGCGACCTGATTAAACGACTGCCAATCGTCTAACTCTGCATGCTGAATGTCGTTCAGATTCAGTGCTGACTACACACTGAATCATTCTCTTCAGACTGGATATAAAGTTCTTTTGCACTGCCCACCTATATCTCAGACTGCCTTAACCACATTCTCTTTTAGTTTCATTTCATTTTTCAGTACAAACTTAATTATTAAGTCTCGTTACCTACCAAACATAGACTGATACAATTTTTTTTTTCAACAGAACGCAGCATCCCAGACTTGGATAACTCTTTCAGAACATTCCAACATGATTTTGATGACCCACCTCCTTCCGTACCAGCGCCACCACCACCACTTCCTCCTAGAAAATCAACAGTCCGTCCGCGCCTTCCAGACCGAAGCACCAACACTACCTGTAGGAAGCTTAACAGAGGGCAGACCGGGATCCACAACGGTGGATACACCTCTGATGCTTCAGATAGTCCGACTGTTAATCGCACTACTTTGGATAGACAGTACGATAGTTATGTATCAATGGACAACTTCAGATCTGTTGAAAGCCATAACAGTGACACTCATTGTAAATTTACTTGTGTGCCTAGCTCCATGATGCCGAAAAGCACCAGCAGGCTAGGTACGCTTGGTTATAACCACACCGACTCAGCTCCATTGCCTTCGACTGGACCAGATTTTATGACATTCTCATCTTTAGAATCCTTTTATTTCGATAGTAATAATGACAATTCACAAAATCCAAACGTGACAAATTCCCGTCGCAAAACGCATTATGAAGAACCCAGCCAAATCTGGGAAACTAAATCTTCACCTCCAACTCCATTTTTAAACAGCAAATACTGTCATAAAGAGACAAACTTGCCTCCTCCTACGGATATAATTACAAATAATAGGCTGAATGCAGATAAACCAAAGAGATGTAAACACAGAGCCAACAACTCTGATCTTTCAAATCATAACCAGCCTTGTCATTGTCACACAGACAGCTCGGTAATTGATGGTTTTGTGACGGCTCTTCCACAGCATAAGGATCACCATGACACCTCCAAAGTCAATAACCATTTGTTCGATGTTGACCGGAACCAGATGTGTGAACAGTGGGTTGCGAAGGTCAATGACAGTCGTCCTATCTGGTCTTCACAGGGGGATGTTGACAGCAACACTAAGTCAACAGATGGTGGGTCAAGAAAAGAATGCCATGGAATACGTACATGTGGATGTACCAATGCTATGTATCCTGAGATGTGTAGCAGTGAAACAAATAGACATGCATCTGATCCTAGGGCACTCACTAGCAGCGTCTGGCTATCAAGTTTTGGCGACTGTGTAGAGAGTATGCAACACAATCTAGACATTCATTTCGTACCTGTCCAAGGTCGGCTTAGATGCCACAGCAATTACAGTGACTGTGTTAATACTCTTACTGGATCAGGGATACGTTTTACTGAATCCACAAATACATTGACCCACCAGGGGCTTAATATGGCTGAACCTAGCAATGGCTTAGACGTCAGAAAAAGTACACATGATCAGAGAAAGAGCACATCATTGGCCTCCTGTGTTCCTTTCACTTCTTTAAGTGATATTAACGTAAACAATAACAGCAATGAAACGACCACGAACAAGATAGTCTGCTGCTCTACTGAGTCTCTTTGTGACAGTGATTCCACTCTTGTGAACCATGAAACATGCCCTAAAAGCGTCGACAGTGGCGGTTTTGATGTTGATCTGGAAGGCGGTAATAGTGTTTTAGGGAAGTCTATTGGCTCATTAGATGAGATAACACATCTCAAGCATTTAGCCCAGATGAACGATAAGGAACTTACCCAAGCTAAAAGACAGTCAGGGAAATATTCAAACAACAACAGGTGCAACAAAAGCCTACAACCCAAGCCGTGCCCACGGCAGCCGTGTATCTATTACTGTAATGTGCCAAGTATGAGTGTTGCAGGGAGTTCTCGGGAAGCGTTAGCTCTCAACATTAGGGCGGACACAGATAAAGAGCCCAGTGAACAAGCAATAGACGCAAACAGTGGCGTTGTACACACGCGTAACCACGGCGCAAACAGCCAACGGAATACTGCCGAGAGTGTGATTTCTAATTGTGAATCTGCTGTTTTAAGCATTGGACCAACCATTAAACTTCCAGATAGAGAACACCCACCAAGTCGCCCAGAAAGAACTGGTTATCAAATACATAGCGTTGTGTCCACTCCTTCTCTGCCTTTCTCAAATATAACTGACAATAGCATAGACAACGAAACGACCCTTAAAAAGACATTCTGCAGTTCTACGGAGTCTGTTTCTGAGAGTGATTCTGCTTCTGTGAACAATGAAACAGTTTCTAAAAGCATCAACAGTGTCGGTTTTGATGTTGATAATGGAGATAGTCATAGTGTTTCTAGGAGCTCCGTGAGTTCATCAGATGAGACAACACATCTCAAGCAACTCGTCCAGCTAGAAAACATAGACGTTACACAAGGTGATAGACAACTAAAACCAAATTCGTCTGATAACGCCTGCAACAAAAACCTACCGCCCAAACCATGCTCACAGCAGCCGTCAAGTCAGTACTCACTGGCGCGTCGGCTAAGCCCTGTTCCAGTTCGGAAACC